GAGGAATGCACAAGGAGATCGACGCGGCGCGGGACTTTCTGGGGACTGTTTCTGATTCATTCCGGCCCCGTCAGGAGTTTGGCCGCTGGTCGGGTCGGACTGCCGGCGGTCTCCGGGGAGTCCGGCTCAGCCGGGCTGGAGGCTAGACAGGAAGCAGGGCAGGGGCCGGGGCCCGGGCCAGCGCGCTCTGCAGCTGAATTGGAGATGAAGAATCTGAGTAGTGAGGGGGCGGGGACGGAAGCGCACGGGACAATGATGAATGAAGGCAAACTTCAAAATATTATTCAGTCAAAAGGAGGGGGAAGGGGCGCCCAGCCCGGCCCGGCACAGCCCTTACAGCGAGCAGACGGGCGTGTTTAGGCGGGGATTAAGTGCCCGAGGGACATCGCCGGGCAGGCCCGGGCCCGGCCGCCATCTCCTCCACGGCGGCGCGGAGCACGGCGGAGACGGATCGGGGCTCGTCTAGCGGCCGCGGCCGGCGGCTCGGCTCACCTGTGCGGGCGCCGCTTGACGGCCGCGAAGCGCCCGCCCAGCCGGCCCCACTGGTCCGACTCGGGGTGCTCGACGGCGAAGCGCGCCTTCTTGCGCAGCAGCTGCACCGTCAGCACGTACGTGACCACCATGATGACCATGGGGATGTAGAAGGCCACGAGCGAGCCGAACACGAAGAAGGCGCGGTTGTTGATCACGCACTCGTCGTCCTTGGGCATGATGTTGTGCGGGTTGACGGTGCCTGCACACGAGAACAAAAAATAAAAAGGGGCCAGAGTAAAGACGTAAGAGCGTTTAATCAAACTTCAAACGGCGGCGGTGGGACGGACCCAGCACGGTGATGGAGCTCGAGACGAGCATGGCGAGCACCCAGACGAGGGCGATCTTGAAGCCGACGAGGCGCTTGGTGGAGTAGGCGCGCCGCGTCTTGAGGGGGTTGCGGATGCCCAAGTAGCGACCCAGGGAGATGAAGCACATGTGCAGGATGGACGCCGAGCAGGCCAGCACGTCGCACGTCGCGTACACGTTGCACCACACCAGGCCCAGCGGCCAGCGCCCTGCCAACAGACGACGAGAGAGAATTAGAAGCTGTTTTGGTGTTTTCCCCAACATGAACCGTATAAATACCAATTCGAGATGGTCTCCACAATCACACATTCCGCGTCCTTACAATCAATTATTTCAAAAATTTCACAATACTTAAAAAGAAATATATGAATCTGATTTGAAAGAATTAAGCTTAGCGTCCCGTCCCCCATCAGCGCAGCAATGTAAATGCTCCCATTGTTTCACTGCATACTGCAGATAACTTGGCCGGCGTAAAATCTATCATCAGGGTAAGTAGAGACCCATTACTGCTATTTCCCAACGGCATGCGATCGGCTCTGTTCTATCTACAATAGTGTTAGGGGCTGGAGGGGTGGGGAGAGGAGGGAGTGGACGGTTCGTGAGCCATGCGCCCTGTGCTGTGCAGCATCGTGCAGCACAGACCTCACGAAGGAGGTGAAATGGGGACAGTAGAGTTGTCAATTCACTTGGATTCCCTCCAAGAAAATGTCCTTTTTTTCTTGGCGAGCACAAGCGGATCGAATATATACTGCACGTCCTTGGCCATTTCGGAGCGTATCAAGGAATACATCATTGCCGTTCTACACGATTTAAAAACCACCAGCTGCACTGCTTTCGCCCCACTTCCACCAGAAATTTCTATCTCATGACAATAATGCGGTCCCCCAGACTGTCAAAGTCTAGTTCAGCGGGTCGCGTAGAAGCACGCCGCTCAGCGTCCGTGATCAGAGCAGAGGGTCAGAGCGGGGGCTGAGAGCCTGAGGTAGCAGACAGCTGGCCCACGAGTGGGCCACCTCAGCAGTCCCCGCCCCGCTGTCGACCAGGCAGCACGCCAACAACCATGTACTACCGCTCCTCCTCGGCCTCCTCCAGGTCGCAGTGGGTCAGCCCTCGGCCACGGGGAAGCGGAAGCGGTGAGACCTGGAGGCGGACAGAGCCACAGGGGCTTTGGGCAAGACACAGAGGCTGGGCAGAGCCCCAGAGGCAGAGCTCCAGAAAGAGGGCCCCAGAGCACCTTGCCCCAGAGGTAGAGCCCCAGTGGCAGAGCCCCAGAGGCTAGAGGCAGAGCTCTAGAGGCAGGGCCCCAGAGGTAGAGCTCCAGAGGTAGAGCTTCAGACAGAGGCTACAGCTTCAGGCTCCAGAGGCAGGGCCCCAGAGGTAGAGCCCTAGTGGCTTGGAGCTGCCCGGCCCGAGGCCCTGCCCGGGGCCCGGCCCGTCTCCTCGCCCAGCGCGCAGCTCACTTTCATTTCAATCGAGCTGACCCGGAATAATCTCCTCGGTGGCGCTTCCCTTCCCTCTCGGCTTTATTCCCCGGCTTCTCGTCTGGCTGGTCGCGGCTGGGCGGGCAGCGTAGTATGCAATATGGTTTGAGCGCCAGCCACATAGAAAGGCATAATTTGAGACTTTTTTTTTTGTTCTCCGTAGTCCTCCTCAAAAACAATTATTGACCGCGCCCTTCACCTCCTAGCGTTTTGCAAGCCCCCTTCCGTGTTCGTCGACGGCTGGCCCCGGGGCCGCCCATCCTGCGCGAACTTGGTGCTGCCGATTCCACACTCCAGGAGCGCCACTAGCCCCCGCCACAACCTGGACCACAGGCACCACAGGCAGGCGCCCGCCGGGCGGGCCCACCCCGCGCCACCTCAAAGGGGGCCGCGCCCTCCCGTGGGAGCCTCCGGCGGCCTCCGGTCCACGGCCCCGCCGGGAGACGCGCCTGAAAGGGTTCCCGGCCCCAATGCGCGGTGTGATGTGAAGCCCCGTGGTCATTTATTTTTTTTCTCCTCCGCGCCGTCGCTCTCGCCCCATAACGCCGAGCAGTGACAGTGAGTAGGCTTTGGGCGTCATCCATAGTGATGGTCCGTCAGCATCTTCGGCACCGGACGGGGCCGGGGAACAGCGGCTGACGAAGGGGGTGGGCTCTTTGTTGGAGAGGTGGG